TCGTAGTACATGTTTTCTTATTTCTGAAAATATAAAGAACGCCCAAAATGGAGTTCGTATACAAAAGACACGTCCGTTTTAAGAATCCAAATCAATATAATACTGATTTTCTTAAAACTGCTAAAAACTGTTTCTATTCGTTGAGAGACTTGCACACCCCAGATGGAATTTCCTAGAACATTTTTGGACTCAGGTCATAGTCTATTACTTAATTTCATACTATAAATATTTTTAGCAAAAATATTTGCCAAAGTCGGAAAACCGGACATTTCATGTCGAATTCAACGTGAATCCTTAAACACGATTTCCTGGAGTTCTACAACTCAAAACATAATCCATCTGAGTTTTTGGAATCGTTGTAACCGGTACCATTATTCTTCATTTTTAGAAAAAATTATTTGATATGAAGATCGATGGCACACAAATAGAGAAAGTTAGAAAATATTTATAAATGTACGAAAGAATTGGTTCGTAAATGGTTTCAGACCTATATATATATATATATATATATATATATATATATATATATATATATATATATATACACATAAGCTATTCACGAATCCTAAATAATAATAATCAATCACGTAATCACAATGTATATAGGTTTTGTTATTAAAATTATATAACAACACTAAATATATATATGCATATTTATATACAAGTCATATATCATTTTCCAAATACCCATTTTCTAGCATATATCACAATTTGGACACTTATTATATATAAATCTCCAATTCTTTATATATCTCACAAACATACATAATAAACTTTTAATACGAGAGTGTATAAATATATGTATATGCACTCGTATCAAATGACAAAACTAGACGCCTTCATACCTTGGTGTACAAAAAGCTCAATAATACATTAATACACATACACAATACATACTTATTAAATCAATGGATTGGTTGCTTACAAGTCTCACACAAGGTACATCAATTACACACTCAAATACAAAATCAAATACAAAGTACACCAAATGTATATATACAAAATTATGGGCGAAAGAAAACAAATTAAAAGCTATGGTTTTCTTTCACACTTCGAGTTAACTAAACACATAATATTCACATAATTCTTCTTTATCAAATCAAATAGGTTACAATTGTTGACCATAACTATTAGTTTGGTTAAGATTATTTACCCTAGATAATCTTTTATAAAAAAATTATTTTTAACGCTTATTATATCTTAACTTGCTAGCCCGAATTTGTAACGCTTGATTCAGGTATCATTTATTTCTCAACATTTTAGGGTTTTGGACTGGAACTCGAAGAATTAGGGAGCTCCGACTCATCGAGTAGGGATCGTTTTGGATGCGGGATTAAGGGTCTACTCGACGAGTTGGAAGGCCTCAACTCGACGAGTAGAAGCTGGAAAGGAAAACCCTAATTTTTAGGATTTGCACCCTATTTAAAGGCCTTAAGCCTCATTGTTAGCCTCCCTTACCGCCCCCTTTGTCCAAAGAAACCCTAGTTCGTGCTTGTTCTCCCATTTTGAGTGTGTGAGAGCTTAAGGAGTGCCTTTTTGGTGTTTATGTGAAGAAGCTTGAAGTGGTTGGTGCATAACTGAAGAAAAAGACTGTAGATCTGGTGTTCACTCTACTGAAGCAACCATTCTAAGGTATAAAGTCGATAGCTTGGCCTTTTATTACTTAGATCTTCTCCTATGAAAGTTTATGGCCATTATTAGCCTAGTTTGGGACCATTCTTGGATTTGAGCATGTTATGAAGACATGGCTTCAGATCTGGACATCTCAGGGCGTTGTAGACTTAAAGTTGCCAGCTTTATCAAGTCTTGGCCCTCCTTCATGCTCTAACTCCCTTGATAAGCATTGTTTGGGTGTTTTAGCCCTTTGATGCCTTGCATGGATGTAAAGTTAGCAACTTTACATGGTATCTTAACCCTAGGGGACTGGATCTGTAGTTTAGGGCTTTAGAATCGAATGGAAGGGGCTGAATATGTTAAGACAGGGAAAACTCGACGAGTTGGATTGGGTTTTCCCGCCTTATGGATACAGAGCGAACTCGGCGAATTGATAAGATAACTCGGCGAGTTGGCTAGGGTTTTTCCCGATTTGCTGAACACTGAAGGAAATCGACGAGTTGCTAGATGCACTCGACGAGTTGGGTCAACATAAACAGTTGACCATGGTTGATCAAGTTTGACTTTAAGGGTATTTTTGGTATTTCAGGAGTTTGACAAAGTTAGTCACATGGTGGTTGTAGGCAGTTGAGTTGGAGCTGTGACTTAGGATTGATCTTATCGGTTCAACATTTCTGGAGAGGTGAGTCTTCTCCCCATACCATTGGGTCTAAGGCACCAAGGTCGGCCCATTATATGATAAGTGGATTGTTAGTTGATTATGTGTTATGCTGATATGACATTTACATGGAAGACCCTAGGGGGTTCCCGTGGCAGTAGATTAAGACCATGTGGGGGTTCCCATGGCATTTGGTATAAGACCTTGGAGAGTTTTCATGGCATCCTAGTATGTTAGCATGTTTAGCTTGTATGATATTTCTTTGGTTAGCTAATACCATGCGGGGATTCCCATGGCAGATAGTTAAGACCATGTCGGGGTTCCCATGGCAGCTAGTAAAGACCATGTGGGGGTTCCCATGGCAGTTAGTGAAGACCATGTGGGGGTTCCCATGACCGATAGTGAAGACCATGTGCGGGTTGCCATGGCAGGTAGTAAGACCATGTGGGGGTTCCAGTGTCACTCGATATAAGACCATGGAGGGTTTCCATGGCATTCTTATATGTTTGTATGCATGGCTTATGTGGTTTGTATAGCTAATATAACTAATATGGATTATGTGATTATGTGGATTGTGTGGGGTATGCTATGGGGAACTCACTAAGTATTAGCTTACAGTTTGTTGGTTGTTTCATGTACTTCATAGCCTAAGGGCAAGGGCCTGGCTTGATGGCGCGACATGCACTCTCCGACGATTTTATTTGGGGACACTTTGATATTATGAATAAAATGTTTGATGTTGTGGATTTTGAAAACAATTGTGATTGGTATCTCATGTTTATTGGAAATGATTTTGTTATTTAAAAATGAAAAATTTTATTGGAATTTGGGTCGTTACAGAATCTGTGGGTGTTACAATTATCTCCCCCTTATGATGATTACGTCCCGGAACAAGCAATTTTCCAACATTTTTTCCACAACAATTTTATTCCAACATCCCACTTTCATCTACCAACAAACTTTTTGTCAACCACAAGCGACACCGGATTCTCCCGATGAAGTACTTGAAACACAATTCAAGCAACCAAAACAATCGAAGCGAAAAGGCGAAAATACTAAACTCGTTCCAACAAGAGCGAGAAGTTGGAAGGAAAAAGAAGAAACCATTTTAGCCAAGCCTTAGAGTTCTGCTAGCCAAGATCCGATCAAAGAAAATGTGTAAACGAGAGATACATTTTGGGATACCGTTTGAAACCTCTTCCAGGACCAAATGGAGCACGACGATTATCAGATGGCCGACCAAATTACATCAAAATGACGCGATATGAAGTAAAAAATGAAAATTTTCAATTAAAGCTACAATAACCTTAAGAGCATAAACAAAAGTGAGGCCAACGATTTTGATGTCTTCGCCGCAACGCTCAAATAATACCAAGAATCGAAACCAATCCATAAATATTTTCCTTATGTAAATGCTTGGTATATCTTCAAGAAATGTCTAAAATTGCTTCAATGAGGATTCCGTTTCTTCCGGTTCGAAACATTCAAGGAAATCTCAATCACGTACCCACTCATAATAATCGGACAAGCATATATTTATCGACATCAATGATGACCCGAAAGAGTTTGAAGCAGAAGAGCCTCTACGTCGGCCCATTGAAAGGAATAAAGTGAAGAAAGCGGATTTCGATTCGAGTTCAAAAAATTGCAGTATCCATCATTTTAAAAATAAATTTGATCCATACGTCCAACTTCAAGAGCGTGATGTTCATATCATGGAGAATGCCAAAAAAAAATATAAAGAAATGAAACTAGGAAAATAATTAAAAAAAAAAAAACGATTTGAAAATTTTGAAGATGAAAGCCAAAGATTACAATCTAGAAATATTTCTTATGGTCAAACGAAACATCCAAGAAAAATATAAGAATATCCAAATTTATTTTTGAATGTTCGGTATTTTTTTTTTCTATTTTTGATTTGTTACATTTTTATTATCGGTATGTTTTCAAAATTTAATATATATAGTGTTTTAATTTTAATAAAAAAAATCTAGTATTATTTTATTTAGTTAATTAAAAAATAAAAAGTAAACTATTTTGATGACGCGATGTAATAGGTATACCAAAATATGGTGTTATTGTTGTAATGAGGTGGAAGAAAAAAATTTGTAAGCCTTTTCCCTTTTTATGAAACTCACAGCCTTTCATTTATTTCCTTTCTTTTTTCTTAAAAGAAAAAATTCATAAACATCTATTTCCATTTTCTTTCTTTCCCATCTTAAGAAAAAACTTAAAATCAACCATTTTATCTTCTTTCCTCCCTTAACAAAACTCAAAACATAATGTAAATGACAAAGAAAAATTATTAGGAACTTAAAACAAAGTAAATCCGCTCCTCTCCTTCAATTGTGCATTTTACGCTTACTTCATTTCATTTGTTGATACTTCCGCCTTTTTGGAGAATAATAACTTGCAAAAATCTACAACTTTTCCCACTCCCCATAGGAATTTTCCGAATTTCTAAAAAGAGAAGACAACTTTAAGAAAACAATTCTTCATGCGCCGGTCATGGACTGGCTTCACATGTACGTTTCAAATATATTACTATTTTTATTTTTTAATAGTATATACGATATAATTAGAACTTAAAAGTAAAGCTATCACCATAATAATTTATATGAAATATTATAAGATGATAAAGCGCTAAATCGAAAGAAGAAAAATTAATATACGAAAGAATCCATAATGAAGTTAATGAATTGAATAAAGATAATACAAACAAATTTACTCAAGAAAAAAAAAACTGTAATGTTTTCTATAAATTATTTATATGATTATAATTTTTATAATATTTATAATACAAAATCAATAAGCAGGATGTGGGGTCGGTCACTGGCGAGTCCTCTGCAAAACTGGACCAATCATTCTAAGCTCAAATCTCTTTACATTTCCGGCCGCCTCCCTCATGGTGGTGTCCACCACGTACGGCGTTCCCTCCACATTCAGATTGGTGGTATTCACCAGCTGCCGACATGGTTCCCGCCTCTCCGATATTGTCCCATGGTAATGGTAGTACATGATCTTCCCTTCTGTCTTGTGTGTCGATTTCCCCTTTATATTTTGTGACATATGTACACCCGTCGCAAATACATTCCGAGGTTGAATTACATATTTTCTGTCTCTCCTTATCCCTCTCTTTGTATCCCTGTACACCAACTTCTCCATCCCCCATTTCCTGTAACAATTTAATTAAAAAAAAACAACAATCATCAGTTACCAATGTTTTTTATACCAATAAATAACACGTAAGTATAGTAGCTGGTTTTATGGTTTTATAACCAAATATTAACAATAACAGATACAATCATTAGAATACAAAACAGTAAACTGAAACATAATGGCCTATTAGATGACTGGCATGAACCAACTAACCGAGTGTATATTAAAACTTGTATGTACATTTTCCAAAGAAAAAAAAAACACTTGTTTATAACATAAGAAACCACCACCGACTATGGTCGCATTTGGGACCCACGGGGAACGTTGTTTAACGAACACCACATGAAGAAATGCACATAAATCCAAAACAACACACCAACCATTCCAATGATGCAACATTCACAATTTTGCATGTTATGTTACCTAACATTCACAATTTTGTATGTTCTATTTTTGTTTCCACTCTTGGCTTTTGCTTCTCTTTTTACTCATTATAAATCCCTTATTGGATAGAAGATCTAACATAGTACTCTAAAAAGGGTTGGATACAAGAAAATATACATTCCTTTAATTTCTTTCTAGTATATGAAAAAAAAAATCTAGCTAATTATTATCTAAATACAAAACAAATTTCATATTATAATTAGTTAGAATTTTCCAAGTAATATATTATAATTAGAAAAAAGAATCAAAATACAATACTATAAACATGATAAAAGAAATAAATGAAAATAACATGTTTTGCAGTTCTCATTTACCCCTTATAATATCCCTAATTTGAGGAGGAAGAAATAGTAGTTGGCATACCAATAATGCAAGATTCGATGCTGTATCGCAACAAAGCTTTTAGATCTCAAATTATGTAAATGGGAAATCGAATAATAGATTAATAAATTACCTACGTGAGTTGTCAAACAAGGGTCAAGTATCAATCTATGTACCTATAGGTGATGAATCGAACCAGATTCTATACTAATAAACAACTAACCCATATGGAAAGTTACTAAAATTTAAGAAATCTAAAAAATTACGGGTAACAGTGAAAAAGATTTAATCTAAAAGATCAAAAACAATATGATCCGTACCTGTAAATTTTTCCAGCAGTATCATCGAGGTAGCAGAGATTGTTAGACATGGTTCTTTGTTCAATGGTAAACTGGGTAAACTGTGACATCGAATCTGTAACTGTTTTAATGGTGCCCTTCTTAGGAACAAAAAGGAATTCATCGACGTCGAAGAAGAACATCCATTTCGTCATGAAACGATATCTATGCAAGCAATCATTAACGATTAGAAACTGATTATGATAATACCCATCAAATCTTTCCTCCTCCTTTATGTCCTGTAACGTCACGTAACCCTTTTCGATCCATGGCTTTAAAACATCCATTACCTCCGGATGAACACCGCCGGCGTCGTGTATCACGAAATGGGATTTCTCTCCGAAGAATTTCACGTGGTAAGCCATCCATTCTCGGACCCTCTGCGGGCTCAGATTTCCGTAAAGTGGTGAGCCGCAGTATAGGTAGTCATATTTCGGTGGTGCTGTGAATTGCAAGGTGTTTAAGCTTCCCGGAGTCTCCGTCAAAGCTTCGATGGTGTCCGTGAGGTAATAGTTGGAGTCGCCGCCGCCGGAGGTGGAGGCGTGTACGAGCAATTGTCCACCGGCACCGTCGTGGCCGACGGGAAAAGGGAAGGTGCAGTTGACGATAACGACAGTGTAGACGCGGCCATAGCCCCAGTCAGGGAGGATTTTGTAACCGAGGGTGGTGATATTTTGTTGATTCTCACTTACGTTGTGTGGGACCCATTGGCAAAGGTATGTGGGTTTGGAGAAAAGGTGGAGGGGTTTGGAAGAGAGACCGATGACGGCGAACGTGTCGACACCGCCTCTGTACGCCGACATGAGTATGAAATTGTAGGCGGCGGCGCCATACCCATTGAAATTTCTCTTAATTAAACCACCTTCAAGCACCACATCTTCTAGTTTCTTAATTTGTTGGGGTTCAATTGGCGGTGGGGGATTGGTGGTGGTTGTAAGGAATTGGACAGCGGAGGAAGGTGGCGGAAAGGAGGCACATCCTCTGAGATCTCGAACGGAGGAAGGAAAGAATTGGAAAAGAGTAATTAGAGAACAGAGAAACAGAAGGGCAGACAACAAGAGTTTAAGCTCAGCAGCACAATTCCAAACAACACCAATAAACATTTTCCTGTCTTTATGATTAGGAATTTGAATCTGATCAGTTTCTTTCACCATTTTCGTGGATTGAAGAATGAATAGAAAAACAGAGAGATGAATGTTAGGCCAGCATCATCCCTAGACAACTCTGCAAGGAGAAAAAGCAAAAGTATGTGTGGGAGAGAGACGGTCTGTGTAGGAAGAAATAGAAAGGAAGCAATGGAAGAGTATTAATATTAATTTTGTAGACACTTTTTCTTTTCTATTACATCCATAATCATTACTTTTCTGGTTAATGGTTTTTCTTTTATATTATTTTTTCTGTTTTTGGAGATCGACCGTCACATACACTGCCAGCGTGTTAGTATGTAAATTTTGGGTGGCCTATATATATATATATATATATATATATATATATATATATATATATATATATATATATATTTTGAGGTTGAGAAACATAATTAACGAAGGAACCAAATTTTTTTTTAATTTTTAGAACTTATTTTTTATCAAAATAAAAACTAAAAATACAGAAATTCATAATTTTTTATCATTTTTCCAATGATATCAAATTCGATTTTTTTTTACGTAAAATTCACAATGTGAATCTTTGAAAATTCACAATGTGAATCCGAAAAATATTTTTCACATTCACAATGTTAATATATAAATTTAGATATTTTTAGATTTTTTTTCGATAAATAATAAGATTTAGAAATTGAAAAAAAGATTTGGTTCCTTGAAGAACCAATAATTATGTTTCTCTATTGAACTTTTCTATATATATATATATATAGAGAGAGAGAGAGCTAGTTTCAGATGTTTAAAGTAATTATTGTGTCATTGTATGCATAAATGTGAGCCAATCAAAATTTAAAATAAAAACAAATAAATAAATAAAGGTAAATAGGTAATTTGATAATTAGTTTCCACAAATAATATCTTATAATTATGGTAACATTGACTTCAGCTACCTAGGTTTTTTCCAACCATCGTAGGCTTTTTAAAACCACCAAAAGTGAACAAGATCGAATACACGACCCGCTATCGTTTTTTGGTGTTTTGGGAGTTTTGGAATCAAGATTCTTGTTCAAGCAACTGTTCATGAAGATTTATGGTATTTTCTACTGTTCATCTGATGTTCATCGTATTTTTCTAATGGATCAGATCTGAGAAACCATTGTTCAAGACAAATTTCTTTGATCAGATTACTTAAAAGTTCTTCATAGTATCGATTCTAAAATCTCTTTGTTCGGTTGCATCATTTATCTCAGTCGTTGTTTATCATTGTTAAAATCGATTTCATTAAGTTCTGATCACAATAAATTAGTTTCTAAATTTTATTGTTTGACTTCAATTTCACTTTCTCGTCATTCACGTTTATTTGAAAATCCTCTCCAATTGAACGAATGATTGGAGATTTTGATGAGATTTCTTGTTTATGATCATCGATGAATCTGTTATATGCTATTCGACATCTCAATTTGATCTTGAATTGGCAAAGTTCAAGTTCAAAATTGGTTCTGATTATTGTCAGATATGAACTTTAGAAGAACATTTAAAATAATTGGGCCGATTGTTCACAAAGAAAACTTTTTGAATGGGATCTACTTTAATCCTAAGGTTTTTGGATGAAGAACAAGCGATGAACATGAAAGAATTGATTGATTTTGTGAGTTTGATCTGAAATTGTTCAGTGAATCATTGATTTGGTATTAGGAATGATTTGTGTGGCATATACCGATGGATAATCTGTGTTGTTGCGAATCACATCAAAATTAATTTACGATTTGGTCAGCAGATAATGTCAAAATCGGAATCAATGTTGTGTTTGGAAAGATAGCAAAATCTGCGAATGCGAAAACGATGAGTGATCGCCTTTTACACCATTCCTATGGGATTTAGGGTTTCATTGTTTTGTTGTGGTATTCTCTGTAATGCAATAATAGCTTTATTTCTGTGTTCTTACTTTTAAATTGGATTTTACTTCTACAGGTGGTTGAGAGCCGAAATCAACTAATTTCTGAACTTGGAGAGTTAGATGTCGCTGATGAAAATGAACGAGTTTCTATCTTGAAATGTCTAACAGGATCATTCTTATTAAATTGTTTTTTACTTTGGATATTTTTCCAACAGAATGCATACCGTAACTGAATCTTGAATTCCAATTCTATTAGATTGGAATCACGAATTCCAATTCTGTTGGAATGGAATATGGATATTTTCTCACTGATTTATGCATTGGATTTGTTTCCACAGAAGCAGCTGATGCTTGAAGAATGGACCATGAAATTGAAAGTGATTCTTAGCAACATTATTCTTTTAGAATGTATTAGTGTCTTTGTTAGATTTTGATGTTTTTTTCCCGATTTGAAAGTTTTTTTTGTTTTATTCTTTAACAATAAATGTAATTCTTAGCAATTGATACCCGTATTCTATAAGAATTAATGTAATTTTTGTTTTATTCTTCAATTGATGGTTCAATAATTTGTTATTCTCCAAGAAGTTTTTAAAGTTATGATCAAGAAATAGGTTCAAAAATATTTTTATTATTTTATGGTTCAAGAATATTTTTATTTTTGATAAATATATTCTGTCAGAATATCCGAGAATTATCATCACTACAATCAGATTTTTAAAATTAATAGAATCTATTATCCCTTAAAATATGCAATTTTCCTTTTTTAAATGTATGTTAATTGACTAAAATACACTTAAAATGAAATTAGATGGTATTTTCTAATTATCTTTAATTTAATAATATGTATTTTTCACTTTCTTAAAATAAGTAAAAATTGATTGGCACACATTTATGCATACAATAACACAATAATTACTTTGAATAGAATAACCTAAGCATATATATATATATATATATATATTATATAATATATATATATATATATATATATAAGTGAAAATGACAAATTTAGCCAAATATAATAATTACTTTGTGGAAAATAGCCAAAAAAAATTGAAATTGCAAATTTGGCCACTGAAATCGCAGATGAGAATGGTCCATCTACGATTTTCACATCCCATCTGCGAATGTACAAGTGGCTAAAGCACAGACGTGCTTTAGCCAGTTGTACATTTACAGGTGGGGTATTTTTTTGTATATATATAGGGTTCACCAGGCTAAAATCGCAGATGGACTTTGTCCATCTGCGATTTTCTCTCTCTTTGATATGCGATTTAACGTTTATTTTTATTTTTTTTTATTTTTTTTATTTTGACTATGAAATCAATGGGTTTGACTACGAAATAATCGTATTATATATAAACTTTTGTAGAAAATTATCAGTTTACTTGTTATTTATTTTGGAAATTTGTGTAAAATTTCTCTAAAAAAATGATTGAATATTTGGTTTGTTTTGTAACTGGTGGGAGATGGCAAGTTATTGAAACAAATTTGGAATACGTATGTCTACAGGGAGGTATTTCTGAATTCGCTTTGATATTTTCTGAGTATATTAGTTATAGTGATTTTGTATCTTTGGTGAGAAGCAAAATTGATTTGTTAGACAAATATAGAATTAGTCTTCGTTTCCATCATCCTGAATTGAATTATTATATAGCCATAGTTGAAGACATGGATGTTAGAATGTTGATAAATGTAATAAAATGTAGTGGAGGAATGGCTATGAAAGTGTTTGTGGTGGTTGATGAATGAGATGAGGTTAATGAGGCTGGTCAGAGTGGAAATCAGCCGGTTGGTAATTTATCCAGCTATAAAGGGAGCAACGATCCGATAGGTACTTTCAATACTCCTAGTGTACCTCAATGTCACAGTGTTGCTGAAAATGTTAATGTTACTTATTCACCTATTCACTATGTGGATCCTAAGAATTACAAGTATGTTGGTGATGATGATGTTGGTACATATCTTAGTGACGTGGGTGGTCGTTGTGTTGATGTTCCTGAACAAGAAGTTAAACTTATGAATAGGCGTGTAGTAGATAAAAGTAAAAAGAAAAAAATTATGCGACAAAAAGATGAAAAAAGCATGTTTACGGGGATTATGTTGATGTTGGTTATGTAGCTTTAGATATAACCGACTTAGAAAGTAATTCAGATGGAGATGAGTTGGGTGATGAAGTTAAAGCTAAGTTTCTCGATAACATTTTTTATGGTATGCCCCCTCTACCAGCATGTCCAGTTGATATTAATGAAGATATCCCAACACAGATGGTAGACATCAATCTTCAAAAGATTGAATGTGAGAGTATATTTAAGAACAGAGAACTTTTAAAGCGGGCTATTGGTAAAAAAATGCCTTCGAGAAGGTTTTCAGACGAGGACAAGTAGATCCACCAAATCAAGGTATGAGGTTGTGTGTGTTTCGAAAAATTGTTCTTGGTTACTAAGAGCAAAAGCAATTAGAAATTCTGATGGACTTTTCCAAGTGAATAAATTTGTTGATGTACACACATGTTCTTCAACAATTTTGCAACCTAATCATCGACAAGCAAACAAATATGTTTTGGGTGAATATCTTGCTGATGTTTTGGCTGAAGATTATAGTAGAGTTTATCGGGGAAAAGATATTATGAATGATATGAATGCTTAATTGAATATCAATATCTCATTCCATCAGGCATGGCGTGCGAAGCAATATGCATTGTTGTTGTTAAGGGGTACGAAAGAGGATTCTTTTACCAAACTTATGGCTTATTTCCACAATTTGGTCAAACATAATCCGGGTACGGTGACACATATTAAAACAGATGGTGATGATCGCTTTGAGTTTTTGTACGTCGCACTTGGTTGTTCGGTTAGTATTTTAATATATCATAGATATGCAATGTATTGTAGGTACGTGCTTTTGTCAATTTTTTTAAACCGACCCTTGTAGTAGATGGAGCCCACCTAAAGGGCGAGTTCAAAGGTACCATGTTACTTGCAGTTACTAAGGGGGGAGAAAACCAAATATTACCGGTTGCATATGGTATATGCAAAAATGAGTGTATAAATTCTTGGACATGGTTTTTTCAAAAACTACGTGATTGCATAGGCAATATGCACGAGCTTACAATTATATCTGATAGGTCTCCATCTATAGCGACATCCGTTGCCAACATTTTTCCTCACGCTCATCACGGAATATGTGGTGTCCATTTGTATTTCAACATAGTATCTAGATTTGGGAAGAGTAAGACAGTTAAAGGAAGTTTTTGGGAGGCTTGTAGGGCGTATACAGTTGATGCTT